ACCTCTTCTCTGTAAGCTCTGGATTTAATATAGCTTTATTACTATTTACTTCAGATAACCTATTTGTTTTGCTGTGTCAGAGTTCACCAGCTCTGTGTATCTAGAAAGTAAGTACATAATCTAAATTAATAACATAATATCCCTCCAGTACTGAGGGGAGGTCCTTCAATCCGTGAAGGAGGTTCTTCATCCCATCTATCTTAAATGGGGAACACCCACAAAGCATTCATCTTTCCACTGACTGTGGTGATCTACATCTTGCCCTTTTAGAAAGTGTCAAGGTGCATACAGATTTGTTTGGTTTTTTTCTGGTACAATGAATCATTTTGTTGCTTGCACCAAGCACGAGTTGAGTATGTTCTGTTTTGCTCAAACCACTTTTGAACACAAAGACGTGCATTTGCATTTGAGATTTCTCTTTATAACAAGGTCCATATAAATTTGCAGAGGAAAACAATGCAGGAACTTTTCCATACCTATATAGCTGTTGGTTTCTTCTTGTGCTGCTTTTTTTTTTTTTTTTTTTTGGTCTTAGGAGCATAAACCAGAGAAGTTACTTGTACTAAAAAGCAAACAGATACTTTTTAGATTCTTATTTTATGTAATTTATAACATTGGTTTTAAATGGATACCTCTTTTCAAAAATTGGGTTATGTTCATTCTTGGTTTGGACTCCCCTAGGTAGGGGCAGTCTTGATCTTCAAAATAGAAAACCATGAATTCTCTTATTTCTTGCATCAAAAAAAAAATCCCAAAACAAAACTGCAAAGAACAAGCCAGAATGCTAACAGACCACTCTCCCTTGTGTTCTTGGGACCTAAAGGAGATGCTGCTTGGACTGGAAAATTGTAGGGAGCAAAATATAGCATTGCCCAGATGAGGGCCCTTCCTTAGCGTGAACTGACACTCAAAAGCAGTAGAGTGCCTGTGCATACCCTTGGGAAATGGGTTACAGTGCTCAAAAGGATCAGTATCATCATCCAACCTAGCCAAGCAGTGAGAGAAAAGCAATCCGCGTTTCTCTATAACTCCTTCTCAGACTTAAAACAGATCTTTGAGAAAAATATGCAGTCTTTATTCTAAATTGTCAAAAGACAGAATATTCACTGCAATACGAAGTAATTTTTCATGTGTAATTACTCTCGCTGGGTAAAACTTAACTCTTAACCCTCTCTTCAGTAAAAATAAATACTCATCTGATTTAACCTGAAGTAGATTTTTTTTTTTCAAATCTTGAAAAAATATTTTAACCCTTTCCTGAAACCTTTCAAAATTGTCAGAATCCTGGATAGAAGTGTAGAGACTGGGAATGGATGAGCTATTGAAGTACAGATTATCTGTTCAGAACAACTGTTCCATGGGAATTTGTCTCATGTTTTTCTGTTTGCCTAATTGGCTGGTTTTTGCTTGTTTCCCTTTTCAAATAACATTTCTCTTAAAAGCCTTGTTTACCAGATTTTTCTGATAACCTTGGTTTACCATCTATATGATTATATCTTCTTTACCATCTATATGATTATATCTTCTTTATCTTCATCACTCTTTTGTATGTTGGTGTCATGCTGACAGTCTTCTCAGCAGAACTGTATCTTTTTTCCACATGTATGAAAACACATTAATTAAGTTCAGATGAATCAGATCACTGCATGGCTCTTTTCTATTTAGAAATAATTTTTCAGTCGGTTAACTAGTTCGCAGCCTGCAAGCTGCACTGATATTTTTGTATTTCTCAAAAAAACCTCAGAATGTCATCTGTGATTAAGTTAAATATGTTAAAGAAATCAGAGGTAACTGAGTTAACATATTTAATCATACTTGATCTCATCAAACTTACCATTTTGATTAAACCTGTTTTCCATAATGGCATGTGGAATGGCATTAATTACGTGCCTGTGCTTTGATTCTTTGTTGATTGTCTTACAGCAGTCTTCCCATGAGTGTCTGGAACAACATACAGCTTGTGCGACCTGTACCTACATGCTTTAGCTCCACTTCCAAGTATTGTCCCCCCCGAGCTTTCATCAGTCCTATACATTTTCCCATTTTCAAAGGCTTTTTTTAAAAAAATCACTGCATGTTTGGTGCATCTCTTACTCCAGTTATTTCATGTTGTTGGATGCCAGTTTGTCTGATCCTTTTTCTGTTTCACTTCATTTTAGAAATTATCATTTGTCTGAAACAAGATACTGGTGAACACATTGATATATTTTTCATGACAAATTAGGATTATTTCATTTAATGTAACAGCCTTCTTCATTTAAGGGAAAAATAGCATTGGAGCTGTTGTATTCCTAAGCTTTATTTATTCCTGACACTAAAAATAATTCTTGTTTTGGCTTTTCATTGAGGTCTTTAGCTCCCCTTATCAACATGTCACACTTATAAATTTGAGATTTATTCTTCTTTCGTATCTTATTTTTTTTTTATTTCTTGGAAATAAAATTTGCACTTAAAAGCTTGTTGAGTTTTACCTTTCTTGCCATATTTTCTTGCAACCAGAATGTGTTTTGACCAACTCATTATCCCCTAAATGCTGTTGTTTGGCAGTTGTGAAGGCTTTCTGAACTACTCTCAATTACCAGGTGTATTTGTTCTGAAATGTCTTTTGACAGTTGCATTGGCTCATGTTAGTTTTCCAGCTATAGAACATTATTCTTTCTTTTGAGCATCACATATACTTTTGTTTTTCACCAGGACTGTCATAGCAAATTAAATGGGTTAGGAGTTGCTTGGCATCTATTCAGCTTACCCTCTTTTTTTTTTTGGTTAATTTGTTTATTAATAGAAGGAGGTGGGAGTCTTCATGCATTAGAAAGAGATCTAATATGGAATTGCTCTGAGTTTTGTAACATATACACATTCAGTCTGATTTTTTTTTTTATAGGAACTCCAAGGATGTTTTGCCCAATGTAGCAGCTTGAAATTTTCAATTTAAAAAAAAATAATGTTTGTTTCTACTGTTACACAGCTACTTACTCACTTTTGTTCTTTGGCAAGGCTCCAGAATTACTTATGATCTTTCTTACAATTTACATGTATAGTGATTAACACATACACATTCCAGGTCTGTGTCTTCAGAATTTCCAGTAGCTCTGCAGATTCTGGAGCTTCAAGTATTTTGCTGGAGATAAAATTCAAAATTAAGCCCCTTCTCACTTAAAAAAAAAAAAAAAAAAAAAAAAAAAAAACATATGAAAGAATCCATATGGCTTAACTTCTTCCTGCCTCTCCCTCACTTCCCCTCATATCAAAATCGAAGTTAGCATCCTCACTAAGTTAAATGTATTTGGTTTGTGTATGAAATTTCGCTTGTGGTTTCATTAGGCATATATTAATTTTCTGCCAAGATCTCCTTTAGTATGCTGCTCTGGGTTTTTTTCTACCAGCTGTTCATCCTAGAGGTGCCTGTGCTTCAGACATTGGAATGGATGGAGATTGAGGGAAGTCAACAGAGATTACTTCCAGTGTTTTTATTTAAAGCATTCAGATGCTTTTACAGAAGAGGAAGCAGTATTGAATAGACTTGCATCTTGTTATTTCTATTAAATGTTTCAGAGTTCTAGGGAAAAATCGGAAGTTTTTATCTTGATTATCATGACTTGTAGTGCCACTGTCTGGCGGCTCAGCTATCTTTCCTGATAAATTGAGAGCAAGCATTACTGCAGAAGGCTGCAGAGGTACATGGAACCAGAGGAAGGAGTGGAGGGCTCTCCTGTCCTAGTCCTTGCACAAGCCACTTCTTGTCTTTACTCTTCTGGCTGATGGATACTGTTCCTGGTAAATGCTGAAAGCTACGAAATCTCTATTTCAGTGTGTCCTCTGCAGTCACAAGAGGTTTTTATGCAAAGTGACTGATTTATTTAGTCTGTTTGATTTTAAACAAAGAAATAAACAAGACTATCTGTGTTTATCTCTTCCTTGTATCTTGGAATAGAGAAGAGTGTTTAGTTTATGTTCACAAGCTTTTGCGTCCTTTTTCATTTCCTCTCTGTGGTTGTATGAGCTACAACTGTGATAAAGCTTGAGACTTCCATGTATTTTTCAATTCTAGTAGCTAGGTTGTGAAGAAAAATGCCAACTGGCACACGACTTGGAAGTAATTCTAGAATTGACAGTCCTGTGCACTAAAAATACTTTTACACTTGATTTCTATGCAGTATAATCCCTGAAATGTTGCTACTTTTTTAAGATAAGTGCATGGAAACAGTATTTCTTTGGCCTGACCTAGCTACAGCAGAATATGTAAATTCATTTTCTTTCCTATGTAATGTATTGTCATTAATCCTTTGTGCTATACTTAGTGCCCCTAGCTGCACTTAATCACTCAAGCTGTTGGCTGCTACCCTCTAAAGCAAGCAAAGAAAGCTGAGGGTGACTTAAAAAAAAAAAAAAAAAAAAGAGGGGGGGAGATGATCACGGTTGTTGGAAAATATATTCAGTAGAGCAAACTGACATAGGAACTAGAGTGAGCAGCCTCTGGAGAGATAAGTCTGCTAATCCTGCCTGGAGAATTGAGTTACTGTAAGAGAATGATTCAGAAATCACAAACTGAAGTCACACTTCTTCATTGTTATTCCCTGTGCCACCTGCAGGTTTGCACACTTGAAAACATCTGCGGAAAGTCAGTTTAGTGATCTCACTAGTGTAGCAAGTCATTCTTCAAAAGAACAAGGTCTGGAAAATTATGTCATACACAGAGTAAATGGTTTGCTTTGCTTAGAGAGATGCCATTTACCTTAGCTAGTAGTTGCAAGAAAAGGTCAAAGTGCATAGATGAAAACCTTATCTTCACAGTGTAATGGGACAGCAAGACAATGAAGCTTCTCAGGGTCAGGGTCACTAAGCTGTGTCTGTGACTTTCCTTTAGTAGCTTGTTCTCCTGTTCTCTTCCCTCTACAGGTAGCAGTTGAAATATTTGGCCAGTCCTTTGCTATATCCTGGTCAGTTTATCTATTTTTTTTTTTTAAAACATCTCTTTCTCTTTTCCCCAAAACCAGCAGAGAATGGCAGATAACCAGGAGAGTCAGATGACTATTGAAGAAAGGAAGCATCTGATTACAGCTCGAGAAGAAGCCTGGAAGTCCAAGGGTAAAGGAGCAGCCAATGACTCCACACAGTTCACTGTAGCTGGCCGAATGGTAAAAAAAGGTCAGTGATGAAATAATCCTAATATAAATAAACCACTGCTTATCCATCTAGTCAAAATAAGGTCAAGCTAAAGCTATGTAGGAACAGCATCCATGTTTAGCAAGAGGAGGACTGTTTATCTTCAACTGAATATCATGTAATGAGACTGTTCACTCTAGGTTCTTGTGGCTGTTGATATTGATCCATTTGGTTCTGCAGTGTTGTACCACCATCCAGTTATTACTCGGCTCTGTCTGACTGGTGTTAGTCAATCAGTTGAACGGTCATATGTTTTGTTTGTCCTTCTAATACAACCCAAAGGGCACAGTTGGATTATTCTTTCTTATTTATTCTTCCTTTGAAAACCCAGGTGCACTGTCTAGAGAAAAGTTGTGAAATCTAGTTGTTTCTATTCCTGGCTCTTTCCCCACTTCTAGGATCACTGGGAATATTTAGCAAACACGTGTTGTTTTTATGGATGCTGTTTTGGACAACAACTTGAAGTGTTGTGTTTCGCTGAAAAAATCACTAACAGATTTCTGTATAGAACCAGGGAGTAGAAAAGACGAAGGAGCGATGTTGACCGTTTTGGGATCTCTTGAATTCAGTCACTGTTTCCAGATGCAATCATTTTTCTGAAGCAGACAGGAGTTTCTCAAGGGCGTATTTCTACCAGAAATACAGCTGTTCATGCACTGAGTCTGGGACAACGATAGCTTTGGGAAGAAAGCACCTAAACTGATATCTTGTGGTTAAGGAACACTAAATTTTGTTTTGTTACTAGAACTTGGTTATTAAACACAATGATGAACCTTGAGTTAAATGACAACCACTAATAAAAAAATCATTGTGGGGTGAGGGCAATATTGCAACAAGAAGTAACGCAATTTGCAATCCAAGTCACATTCTTTTGGCAAATAAACAGATACACAGTAGTAGGAATTACATCTATTAGTAACATATTTTAGCTGCTGCTTATATTGTTTTGCTGCTAGAAACACCAGTGGGTCAGTATTTAAAGATTAACCTGTTTTGGAGGGTCACCAAGAAAGTGTTCAGTTGTCCGCTGAACTGTCCAGATTGCTTTTTGAGTTTTGGGGTTTTTTTTGCCAAATAGATTGGCCTTTAGAAAGGAGTAGAAGGTGATAGCATTTGTTCTTCTTAATGGGAAAAGAAAAATACCTTGAAAGGATCTCTTTAGGTGCTGTGTTCATTCTTTTGGAGAAGCAAGGTAATCCAGTGACAGCAGAATCAATAAAAGTAGCCCAAGTGGGATTTTATTCAGATGTGTGCTATTTTCGTTTGCCTAAAAGAATAAATTATCATGATGAGTTTTTAATTCAAGAGATGATGAGGAAGCAATGCAAAATTAAATCCTTATTATACGCATGTGTGCAGATGCTGTATTTTAATTGCTGTAAATTTTTCAGTCCGAATTGGAAGGTGAACCTTTACTAGCATCTGAAGCAGTTCTCAAGGTGGTCATGTGGATTAAGTCCTGGGAGAGCTGCTTAAGACCTGTGTCCTCTCAAATACATCTTGATGAAGGCTTTACTGGTTAACTTAAAACCTGCTGGAATTTTGAATCGCTTAGTTAACAAGGAGAAAAAAAGTTTATGGAAAAGCTACTCGATTATATTCTGAATCTGTCTTAGTGTTTGACAATTATGACTTGCTAGGAGTCGCAGTAAAGGTACTGGAAACGTGGTTAGTCTATATTATCCCAGCACAATATCAGTTTAATCTGATCAAAATAACTGAAGTCTTAAACTTATGTGGCTCAGTAATTAGTAAGATATGGCTAAGTGGAAAATGGATATTAGAGGAAAGTTTGAATGTGAGTTTCCCCATTTGCCAAAAGTCTAGGCACCAAGAGGTAATAGATGTAATTCTTTGCTTCAGTATGCTTTTTTACTTAATAAAACCCACAAAACCTGTAGAGTGCTATTTCTCTTTCTGGAGCAATGTAGACTAACATGAAAAGTACTAAACAAAAATCATCTTATTTTATCCACTGGATCCAGAATGAATTGCTTTATGATAGTTACTGAAAAGGAGGGAGGAGTGTACAACAAAAGAAAGTAGTGCTTGATTTGGTGGGGACTCGGACTTCATTTCTGCTTCCATTTCCACATGTTCTTAAAAACACAGCAGTGCCCAAGAATTACTGCTTAATCCAGGGGACAGCATTCACAAGTCAGATGCATCCTGCTATGTATATTAGTAGACATAGGTCTAAATTAAAAAAACGAAGGTGAGAGAGAGATGGTTGTGAAGGAACCAAGCAAGATCTTGGTAGTTTCCCTTCTAACCGTATATTTTTGTTCAGAACAGTTGCATGTTTTTAAAATGTGGCTTGTGGTAGAACTGGAGTCCAGAATGTAGACCAAGTGAACTGCTGCTGCCTTGAAAACAAGCAAAATGAATGTATTCTAGAGAAAGCATGTATCTTGTGTTAGCTTGCTTCAGACACTTGGAAACAAAGCTTTGTTCTTGTGAATGGGACAGTTTCTGAGGCTGCTGTTGATTTAAGGAGCAGGCAGGGCAGTACACTCTGCCATCCCTAATACAGCAGTTGTGGAGCCTGGGGAAGTGTGAGGGACTGTAGGAAGTGGCCAGGCTCATCTGCTTTCCCTGAGTAGCCTCCCCTGTCATCATTGTTGTAAACACGGGCTGGCCCAGGACTACATTTCCTTTGTTTTTTGTTTTTATGCAGGCCTGGCTTCTCCAAGTGCGCTAACGCCAGTAGCATCTCCTTTCAGTAACCGACAGAAGTCCACCACTCCAGTTACAAAGCCCTTGGAAGGTAAGGAATAAAAATGGCTGAAATACATTCAGGCTTTTTTTATGTCCTGTCAATTAACAAGTTCTACTTTCTGATTTGCTTAGAAATTGAAGCCAGGCCTGATATGCAATTAGAATCAGATATGAAGCTTGACAAGTTGGAGTCGTTCTTGGGAAGACTGAATAACAAAGGTTGGTAGAGTTATCAAAGGTGGCAATGTATCCACTCTCCAACTTCAGTAAATCACTTAAAGTGCCTCTTAGTTAAAATATCTGGTAACAGAAACTGAATGTTTCCTTATTCAGACTGCACTTACTGATCGCAGAGTTTTTTTGTGATTCAGTCTTTGCTAAATTTTAACAAAAAAGCCTTATACTGTTGTATTACAAATGTACAATAGAATAAACCACAAGTGTCAAAATAACTTTATTCTTTCTCTTCACATGATGTACACATTCTTCTTCAGAGCAAGATTTCTTAAAACTACACAACCAGTCTGAACCATATTGCCGTATACAGTGAAACAGCTTTAAATGTAGTTTAATCCTGCTAAAATCAAGATAGAACACTAAGCTGCTCCCAAGCGCAATTCATTCACCTTCCTGCTTTTTTGAAAACTGACTCTCTGAGGCAACTCATATAGCTTCCTTTTACAGCTTGTTGTCTACTTGTAAATCTGTCTAGAGTTCTCTGGTGTTTCCATCTCATGTATCTATCTTCCACTTGTAAGACAAAAATCCTGTTGTAATTTGTGGAGTGTCAAATACCGTAAACAAATGTATTCACATTTCAGCAGAGGAGACACTAGCATAGGATAATGATTGTGCCATATTCACTAGTCTGAATTAGTGACTTTTCCACTTGTAGTTCTAGTGGGTTTTTTCAAAGGAAGGAATTGTGTGATTGGAGGCCAGATGGAATATACAAGACTGTAAAATACTTATATCGTCCTACCAAAACAACTCATTTTTGATAGTGCCTAACTTTTTATTCATCCATATTTTTCCAACCATGTAATAAAGATTGTTGCATGTGAATAGCAGGTATACTCTGCTTCTATAATTATTTTCCAACAGACTTCTCTCCTTCAAATTCCATCAATTTAAAAAAAAAACAAACACACAACAAAAAAACAAAACAACACCACCCTCTCAAATAAACCCTACCCCAACAACTACCAAACAAGCCATGTTTACCTGTTCTAGAGCTAGAAACTCTAGTATGATCATTTATTGGGTAAGGTGGTTTTTTTTTCTGCAGTTGCTGGGATGCAGGAGACAGTGCTGACAGTTACAGGAAAATCTGTGAAAGAGGTGATGAAGCTGGATGATGATGAAACATTTTCCAAATTTTATCGCCGTGTGGATTTCCCTTCCTCCTCAGTGCCTTTGGACCTCGATGAGGACTTCGATGCCATCTTTGATTCTTATGCACCAAAGTAAGAACTGTTGTGGGTTTTTATTCTCATTGTTATGAATGCAGACGTAGGGATGGTGGTCAACATGTTCAGCTTTAAGTCATCTTGTAGGTATTTTAGCACTAAGCATATCCATTTCTTCTACACGTTTCTGAAATCACTCTTCTGCCTGAATCAAGGAACTGATCCTGATTTCCTAACAAATGTCACACCCATTATCAAAGCAAATCTCTTGTCATTAGATGATTCTGGCTAGGAAAATTAACTGATGATTATAAACCCTGCTTCTTTCTCAGGTTAATATCTTCTGTAGCAGAGCACAAACGTGCAGTTAGGCCTACGCGCAGAGTCCAGTCCTCAAGAAACCCCCTGAAAATGCTGGCAGCAAGAGAAGATATTCTTCATGAATATACTGAACAGCGACTGAATGTTGCCTTCATGGAATCAAAGAGAATGAAAGTAGAAAAAAGTAAGCTAACAGGATGATTTATACAAGACACTGTCTTGCTGTTTTAATTAAAAACAAAACACAACACAGAAACCACAGCCGAAGGACTGGAACATATTCTCTGAGAGGCAATAAATTGATTCAGTTATAAGGTTGATTGTAGGCTCTCTAGAAGGTCTGGAGAGAAGGGCATGTGTGACTTCCTTAGAAAAAGCTACCTACAGCCACCTCCTGTGCGTGGGTGTAATTATTTATTTTTAGCACAGTTGGTTTGTGCAGAGAGAGAGGGTGCCACTGCACCTACAGGGTGAGGACAGGAGATCCAGGAAAGCAGATCTATCGTTATGTTATGCTGGTGAGAACAGATAAAATTTGTTTAGGTACACTGGCCTCAATTTTGGGTCCTAGTTTTCTCTCAGAAACTGGAATTAATCTTGACTCTCAAAGATTAATTTCCATGAAGGATCAGTGCTCTGTGGCAAGGCTTTGTGTTTTACTTGTGACGTTGCTTTCTCCTGACAACCAGACGGACAACAAAATACATTATTGTAAAATTTATTCAAAGGTTTGTCAAGCCCCTTTGCCATTTTGAGTACAAGTTTTCCTTATTACATTTGAATAAAGAGGGATCATCTTTAAACATTGCCTGTACTGATGAAAACACTAATTATATGTATAATGCTTTGTTGCCGTTTGATGAGAAGCATTTCCCTGAGTTATAAATTTATAAAGTGCTTTGTCTTTGGTTGAGAAGTAAGAAGTAGCCAAGAATTTAGGCTTTAAGTTTACACTAAAACATGACTCAGACTTTGAAATGTAAATGGCTGTTGCATCACCCTGGCTGAGACAAATTTGAAGGAAATTTCAGTTACTTAACCTTGACTATTCTGCTTTTACCAGTAATCAGTTATAAGGCGTTGAAGATCTACATAGTACTTCACAAAACAGAGTAAGACATGTTTCCCAGGAAAGTTGGTATTTCTGCCAAATAACATGATTCTAACACTGACAGTTTACTCTTGGATGACGTCTGGAAATTTAGGTACTACTAAACCCACAAAGCTTTTGGGCTAGCAGTTAATCTGACTTCAACCTGGTTTTGCTGTCGCTATTGAGAAGGAGAAAAACTGGACATAATGAAGGAAAATAATTTTTTAATGCAACAACTCTTTTTTTTATAATTTTGTCCCTTTTTTTTCCTCTTTTTTTTTTCCCTGTGTGTTCTTTCTCCAACTTCTTTTTATGCACAAGTGTCTGCAAACTCAAATTTCTCAGAAGTAGCACTTGCTGGCTTGGCAAGCAAAGAGAACTTCAGCAATGTTAGCCTGCGGAGTGTTAATCTAACAGAGCAAAACTCTAACAACAGCGCCGTGCCATACAAGAAGCTAATGCTGCTGCAAATTAAAGGTATGCTGGAAATACTTTTACTTTCCGTACATAATATGCTGATTGTAGCATATAGGAATTACTACCACAGTAGGAGGCTTAGCTTGTTCTAGATCTCCAGCTCAAGATGGATGTCCAAAACCTAAAAGAATAAGTGACAGCTGTGTGACAAATGCAAAACCTTACAAATAGGTTTGCATTGTGGCCACTGGTGTGTGTTTTCCAAGGAGAAAACAGAGTATTTCAGGAATTCTGGCCATCTCCTGTGGAAATTTTTGAACCGTCCCATTCTTCCAGTGCTTAGTATAACTTGGAAGCGACAGGACAGTGTTCTTGCTCCCCTTTCCTTTGCAGTGCAGAGTAACATATCTGATTCTGCAAAATAATAGCTACTTTTTTTTTGGCAAAGTAAAATTCTTGAAACTTTTTACTGCCTACAGAAACTGTGCCATAGAGTGACTTAAGCAAATGTAAAGGATTCTGGAATTTGGCTGTTGACTGCCATTTACTTAATTATTCTTTCCAGAAGGACACAAAGTTGTTACAGAGAGAGCAGGAAATAATAGAAGTATTGGTTGATAGGAGGCAACTTTTTTTTTACTACCTGTGAGTAAACCCTTTTTCCACAGTAGCAGTATTTTAATTCTTCAACAGCCTGTTTCCATATATTTTGCTAAATGTGCTGGGATTGTTTGTATTTCATTCAAAACAATTTAGATCTTGGCATTTGATAGCAGTAGTCAAAGGAATATAATTAGCTTTGTTTTATCTTTAGGAAGAAGACATGTTCAAACGAGATTAGTTGAACCAAGGGCCTCGTCACTGAACAGTGGAGACTGTTTCCTGTTGTTAACTCCACATTTCTGTTTCTTATGGGTAGGAGAGTTTGCAAATGTCATAGAGAAAGCAAAGGTTAGTACTAGTTGGGTTTTTTTATTATTTATTTTTAGAACTGTCACAGCATATGTCTCTTTGATGTAATTGAGCCTTGGTGCCAGTTGTCTCAAGAAGTGGGATGTAACTGATAGTCAGTGACAGGTAGATATGCAAGATTCCTGTAAATATGTTTTAGCCTGTGCACTGAATGAAAGCTGACATAGGAGTGTGTAGGTTGTGAAGGTGCAAGAGAAAAGAGGATATCCTCAGGAAACAGATTGGCACTCAAACAAAAATAGTCTGAATTGCAGGATGTCCTTTTTGTTCCCATGTTCGTTAAGATCAAGTCTTGTTCTAAGGCAAATGAAAGAATGGATGTATTTTGGTAACATTTTCTCTAGTGTTTGTTTATTTAGTGCAACAAATAATAACCATTTCTCCTGCTATTTACGCTATTATATCCTATCTACTTTTGCCTTCTCCCTGAACAAGATATGCACAAGTATTCCAAAGACTTAAGCAATCCTGTTCAGGTAACTGTTGCTCTCTTAGGCTTCAGAACTTGCAACTTTAATTCAGACAAAGAGGGAACTTGGCTGTAGAGCATCTTATATACAGACTATAGAAGAAGGAATAAATACCCATACCCATGCAGCCAAAGACTTCTGGAAACTCCTTGGTGGACAGACAAATTACCAGTGTAAGCATTCTTACATTTACAGTGTCTGATGTTTTATCACAGTAAAATAGTTGAGTCAGTTCTCTTTCGTAAAGATAGTTGGATGTTAAATTTTTTTTTCATTATTTTTGACAACTTTTGGCTTAAGCTGCTGGAAGTCCTGAAGAAGATGAAATGTATGAATCTGCAATAATAGAAACAAATTGCATTTACCGCCTCGTAGAAGATAAGCTCATTCCTGAGGATGACTACTGGGGAAAGGTGCCAAAATGTACCCTGCTACAACCAAAAGAGGTATCGTGCCACTTACTGCTCCTGTGGTAAGTGCAGGAACATTCAGCTGATAACAGCTTTCAGTAACTGCAAAAGCTTATGGAGAGGCTCACTGAAAATTGAGTCCTCTGTGTTTCTGAAAAGCTTCTGAACACTTTGCTGTCTAGAGTGTGCTGCAGGTCTCAAGAAATTAGATCATGTTGTCTTTAAAGTGATACACTATTTTAGGAAGTGTAAATCTTTTTGTCAACAGTGACTCACTCCAAAGTCTTGAAGTGCAGAACAAGTAGCACCTCGGAAAAACAAAACAAAATAAAAACCTCTTTTCCCTTTCAAGCATTTTTTATTTCTATCCTTAGGAGACTTTTCCCTTTCAAACAACCATTTCACCATTTCTAAGTAGGAACGAGAGCAGATTTCCAAAATGAAGACATGATATGTTTTCTTGAAAGTGTTCAAGTTGCTGCCTGTTTACTGAGCCAGTTACCCACACTGTTTTGTCAGCCTGCCCTGGCTGCAGGATGAAGCATAGGCCTAAACGTCAGTGAAAGCTTCTGTAGCTGGACAGCAGTCATGCAACAGAATCAGGTTTTTAGTAATCAGTCACTTGCCAACAAAAGGCTAGTGACTTGGCTACCTCCTAAAGATACGCCTCGTAGCATTCCCCATACTTGCTTCCAGTCATCGTTGACAATTAGATGTCACAGAGCAGACCACTGCCCTGGCCGTACTTGCATTGCAGTGCTAGTTGTTAGTGTCATTGCAGAAATTCAGATATTTGGAGGAGTTTGTGTTCAACGCACTGTCAGCTTGCAGCACTAGGAAGCTGGAGGATCAGGGTATCACCTAGCCTAATGGTAAGTTGTTTTTTTTGTTTTGGTTTTAGGTGCTGGTATTTGATTTTGGCAGTGAAGTATATGTATGGCATGGAAAGGAAGTTACTTTAGCACAAAGAAAAGTGGCATTCCAGCTGGCAAAACACTTGTGGAATGGTACCTTTGACTACTCCAATTGTGACATAAATCCTCTGGACCCAGGGGAATGCAATCCCCTCATACCCAGGTATCAAAACTCAAGTTTAGTCTCATTGCAGAAACTTAGTTTTCTTGCCCTTATTTCACAGTGTTTAATTTGATTCCATTTCTTTTCTTCCCTTGTGCAGAAAGGGACAAGGACGCCCAGACTGGGCTGTGTTTGGCAGACTCACAGAACATAACGAGACCATACTGTTCAAAGAAAAATTTCTTGATTGGACAGAGCTGAAGAAACTCAATGAGAAGAATTCTAGTGAATCGCTTCACCAGAAGGTGCATATAATAAGCATGCTAGGTATTTCAAACTAGATGATCTAGCTGGGATGGAAGCCAGGGAAGCTTATGCTCAAGGATCCAGAGCACTTTTTTTATCTTGTGGGCTTTGACTTAGGGGTCAGAACATCACCACCTAAAGTGAGCCCACAGAGCTGCTTTATATTGGTGCCAAGCAGCTCCATGAATACTTACAAGATGACTTTGACAAGACATCAAATGATCACAAGATATTAAAGTACTGAAATATGCAGGAGTCAAACTTTGGAACTGTGGGGTAAGAAATAAAAAAAGCTATGCTAAAAGAGCTCTCTTCTGTGTTTTTTGACAGGAAGAATCCAGATCTGACTCTAAACCATATGATGTCATGCTAATGGTAGCTGTGCCCCAGATAACTGTAGGCACAGTCTTGGATGGAATGAATATTGGCCGGGGCTACGGACTTGTAGAAGGAGAAGATGGGAGGCAGTTTGAAATTATCACTGCATCTGTGGATGTCTGGCACATCCTGGAATTTGATTATAGTAGACTGCCTAAGCAGAGCATAGGGCAGTTCCATGAGGGAGACACATATGTGGTGAAGTGGAAGTACATGGTGAGCACTACAGGTTAGTGAACAGTTCCATTTCATCCTGCTGAAGAAGTGCAGCTGAAACCTCTGCTGTTAGTGGTGAGATCCAGACCTAGACTTCCTTGGATGTGAAGCTGTTTTATAGGTTAGAAATGCTAATTTAGCCTTCCTAGATCATTAAGAAGTAGAGCTTATTATTGTATTTTGTTTAAAAGAAAGCATTAAAAAAAGCTCTAGTTTTTTTGACACATCAAATATAATACTGTCCATTTCTGCTTTTACCCAACAGTAGTGTTGTATGTGCTTACAGGACAGGACGTTAAGCCAGAATTGTTCCCACAGTTTAACGCCAAAATAACTAGGCAGCTCTGCTAATGACAGTGGTCTGAATGTCTTGCAAGAGAGGTAGGCTTAGCAACAAGGAAAGCCTTTGCTGCGTAATGGAGAGCAGTAACAATGGCAGGAAAGGCCCTTGCCAGCTCATTGGTCTTGCTGTCCTCTTTGCTGTTTCTGGAAACCTTTTGCTATGGGTTTCAGTCTCAAATGGAAAACTTTAGCAGTGTTCTGACAAAGAGCCTGAGAGCAGCAGGTAAATGTTAAGAATCAGTCAGCTCGGTGTGCTTGTTGGAACTCTTCCTTCTGGCACTAAACTAAGAATAGGTGGCTTGTGTGGTAGGTAAAATAGCAATAGTCTAAAAATTATTGTTCCAAAGAGGAAAATGTTAAAATTCGTTGAAAACAGTGTAACAGCTATACAGCTTCAGGCTTTTAGTCAAAAAATGTAGGTAGGTCTTACTCAGGATCGTTGAGTACAGGTACCGGCAAATCCAAGAAAAATATAAAAGCTTGTAAGTCTTGGGAGAAGTGGGTAACACTACTGAACTGTAAACAGACTCCTAATCCAAATGGATGAAAATATATTCCATCACTTCGAAACAGAATAAATTTTTATGTAGGAGGCAGTACTTTTATGGGCTGAATGTACAGATAAGAGTGAAAACCATAAATTTTAGAAGTGACTAGTGGTTTGAGTATTCTCAACTTGAAAAAAAACAGGATGTTTTCTCCTCAGTATTTCAGTTGTATGCTGCTCAGCACTGCCGAAATCAGGCAGAGGTTTTAATATTTTTTTAAGAATCTTGTTTAAGACTCTCGGGTTGTTTTTTTTTTAATCGTTGATTTAATTATATCTGTTTATTCAGTATTCACTGGAAAGAGTAGAATATTCCATAACTGGTGGTATTGTTGAACTTCACTTGCTGTAAACATGATTTGCTTATCATAACAACTAAATACTGATCCTTTAAAAAAAAAAGGGATTGCTGCTTTCCAGACCAACATGAAATACTAAGTTAATTTTTAAAAATAAATAAATAAAGCTTACCTAATCCTAACTTTTTTTTATGACTACAAAATACTGCTTTGGTGTTCTTTTGTTCTGTAGTCTTCCTTTATAATATCACTTTACCAAGAAAGATTTTCCTTTTATGCCTGTAGCTTTCTCAACTGTTGCTGTTTCCAGTATTGCTCAGCAGCCAGCTACTCTCCTGCTGCCAAAGAACAGTGTGTAATGTGGAAAATGAGCCATAATGCACTCTTCTGGTAACATGACTGGACATACCATTTCACATGCAAATCGGCTCAAATGATGTCAGTTATTTTTCTCCAGATAGTACCAGTTCTTTCTACATCTCTTTCTCTGGCCAACACAGGCATTTCTGCATATGGGCCTGCATCCACCTGATGAGACAAGGTCGACTTTGCACGGGGATATACTGGCTTGGAGACCTAATGCTCCTCCAATTGGATGTTTTATCTTTCCTGTTCTGGATGGGATAATGCTGAGCTGGCAGATGAAATTAAACCACGTGCTGTTTAAACCTATAGCTGGAGTACTTTCTTCAGCGTGTGCTTTCTGTTTTGCAGTTGGAAGCAGGCAAAAAGGAGAGCAACAAGTAAGAGCTGTTGGAAAAGAGAAATGCGTCTATTTCTTTTGGCAAGGAAGGCACTCCACAGTGAGTGAGAAAGGGACATCAGCACTGATGACAGTGGAACTCGATGAAGAGAGAGGAGCACAGGTGAGCTTCCTGCAGACCTAGGTGTCAGTCCTGGTAAGACTTGCCTGCCCAAGTAGCCACTAACAGTAAATGTGGGAGATCTTTTTTGCATCCTCTTTCTTTAAAAGTCGTCTTGCCAGTACAAGTAGCCAGCCCTCAAAATTACTTTTGGCTTTATTCCAACTTCCAGAGACACATAAACTCCTTTATGGATTGTCATTCCCTAGTCCCATTTCTAAAGATGATATTTCTGAGAACGGCTGAAGAAGAATGCCTTCTCTCCTTGCAGGAATAGATGAACCACAGTTTAACAAATTTGTTCCTTCCCTTCCATACATGTTCAGATAACAGGACTGTCTTCCTAGTGCTGAGAAGCATTTTCTGCCAGGCCACAGCTTGAAAATACATTTGAAACTGTCAATTTGTTTACTTTGTAATTACAGAGTAGATTGCCTTATTTTGCAGAGATTCTAGCAGCTGCAGATTCAGCTAGTTTGAAACTCAAAGAGAGGACAGGCTAGCTTGCTTTGTCTTTGCTAGGCAGTTAGGCTTTGTTGTGGCTTGACTTTTACCAGCACACAAGAAGGAGGGGTTAAAGTTAGTTTCTGTACCTTGATAATGCTGTAATTGTTTTTTTAACAGCAGCATAGACATAACCAGTAAGACAGGAGTTCATAGAGGAGATACAGAAATACACTTGATCCAGAGTGGGAGATTCTGTGCAGCATAGCTGATTTAACAATTGGCTATATCATTTTCATAATCAAAATGCAATGCTTAGTGAGCAAAAAACATGCATGTTGTCATTTAATCAATTTTACAGCAAACTTTAAACCTACTTAAGTTACTAAATTATTTCCATAGTAGTTTCAAAGAACATGAGGCAAGATGGCCCTGTCCTGTAAAGAATTCAAATAATAGTTAGTTTAAACTAATTTAAATTAAAGTTTTGTTAGTATTCCTTATCCACTGAAACTCTTGCTTGTTGGATTCCAGCTGGAGGTTCCTTCTAATATGCAGGTCACGTATGAAACGCATTGCATGCTGGTATATGTGATAATTTAAACAATAGTCAGCAGTTGTAAAGTACAAGAAAAACTATCTTAGTGGGTGGCCATAACCGTATAATTTTTAATAATCCATAGAGACTACTTTTCCTGAGTCTGTATACTTGCTTCATTTTTTTTAACGAAGACTGGTGCTTTCAATTTCCAGGTACAAGTGCTTCAAGGGAAAGAACCGCCATGCTTCCTGCAGTGCTTCCAAGGAGGGATGATTGTGCATGCTGGAAGAAGGGAAGAGGAAGAAGAAAATGCACAAAGTAAATTACTGTTAGTTAAGAGCTTCTGTCCCAAAAATCCTTTTTTACCTGTTGTGAAGGGCGTTGAACTCAGTCTCAACTACCATACTCTGTAGAAAAGGGAAACAAATGCCATGGAACCCATGGGACAGCTTTGCCATGCTTTGTTTCAAAGTAGTTTGTTTCTTTTTTGAGCATAGAATGGATTTTGTACCCCTAGAGCAAGCTGATTTTATTGTATTGATATGCATATAAATTGTTCTAGTTGTTTAATTAAGCAAAGTGCCCGTTTTCTTTAAAATATATTCTTTTCTACATAGTCAGTGCAAAAGAGCATTTTTATGAGCAGTTCTCCTGCTCCAGGGAGAACTCTAAGCTTTTGTTACCCATTCATTACTTTTTGCAACACATTCCTTGAAATCTGCACTTGAGCCAGGAGAATTTCAATGCAGGTAGGTGTAACTTGCACATGTTCCAGTTTACATCTGAACGTGACCTCCTGTGCCTAAGGTGCACAGAGGAAGAGGAACTGAATAGAAGGACTACTGTATTTGCTTCCCTTTTCTTCACCTGTATGAAACAAAGCAGAAACTTGACTCTTCTGCTCTGTTAAACTCTTCAGCTCTGAGTAGAGCAGACCTGACTCTTCCAGTCGCTCTCATAGCAAGGTTTCGTAAGGCGTTTTTTCTGCAACAGGGTTTTCTAAGTAGTGTTAGCTAAACCTGATGCTTAGCTAGTTTAATCTGTGACAATATAGGCATGCAATATGTGAAATTCATCTGGTATAAGAACAGCTGTTCCAGAGCAGAGGTCTTGAATTTTCAATCCCATGTGACTGTATAATACTGCTGCACTGTTCCTGTCTGCTCCAGGTGACTGGAGGCTATATTGCGTGCGAGGAGAAGTTCCCAATGAAGGAAACTTACTTGAAGTAGCATGTCACTGCAGCAGCCTGCGTTCCCGGACATCCATGATTGTCCTCAATATAAATAAAGCTCTTATCTACCTGTGGCATGGCTGCAAAGCACAATCTCACACCAAGGATGTAGGAAGAACAGCAGCCAATAAAATAAAAGAACAGTGAGTGTCTGACCTATATTTTGGAGATCTTTATACAGGCTACCCATTTACTTAAAATAGTCTGCCTTAAAGAAAAGTTGAAATAAATGAAGCTGTCCTCTGAGTACAACTGCAGTATGTGCATGCTTGGTAAGGAGGAGGAATGACAAGTAGTTGATTTGGTGGAGCGGGGAAAACACATGTTCTGTAATAACTTTCACTTAAGGTCAAATGCACTTATTCTTCCTACTGTACCAGTTACAGTTGCAAAAAAACAGTCGTCTTCCATTTGGAGGGAGATGCTCTGTATCTGAAGAGCAAACTAAAACCCAGTTGGTAGGAGGATTAGAATCAAGCCTTGTGAATAAGGAAGAGGAAATTAATTTGGGAAAGCATGCGAGGAGGACAGCAATAGTTAAAAGAACAAGCAGTGAGAATCCCTACTGAGAGCTCACACGAGCATCTCCTCCACTCTGGGTATGTGATCAGAAGTACTAAGAGAATGGTTGCTGAAATTCTGTATCTTGTTTATTGGTAATTTTTTTCATCGTTTTCAAAAAGCCTATGTTGACGTAAAGTGTGCAACAAGCCTGTAGGGTCCTTTTGATTTCTAATAATGCAAGTGGCCAGCAGGTTTGTGTTAGCTGTCTTCAGGGCAGGAAAGTTGGGTTCACTCTCTTTCTTTGTGTTTCGTAGATGTCCACTGGAGGCAGGGCTGCACAGCAGCAGCAAGGTGACAATACATGAATGCGACGAAGGGTCAGAGCCCTTGGGATTCTGGGATGCATTAGGAAGAAGAGATCGAAAAGCCTATGATTGCATGTTGCAAGGTAGACCCACGTTCCAGGATCTGGCACACACATTTTACTGGTCTACAGCATTTTGAGATTTAATGTAAAGCTTTTGAAGAACTTCTTGGTAGTTGAGATGATCCCTTCAGAGAGATGCTTCCAAAAATCTACTCAGTTAAATGGTACTGTTCTAGAAGGAAAGTGCTGGAAAACAAAGTGTTTAATTTTTTTCTCTCCCCCTTCTGCAGCCCCAACCAACAGTTAATGCTGTTGCAAACACGTTTTGCTTCTCTTCTGAAGGGATCGGGGGTGGTTCTGCATGCATTCTTGTCCAGGCTTTGGTTTGAACCTGCCAAGAAAGGTAGCAGGGGAATTGATTTACCAAGTGGAAAATTTTTCAGCTAAAAAGTAAATTCTGAGATGGGCTTGCTTCACTTAAGCTGCAAAACAGCCAGTTATGAAATGGCTGATAGTAACTAGCCAGGATCAGATTCAAACTGATGGCAGCCAGCCCTTTAGCTCAAGTTATTCACAGCTGTTGCTAGTTCCCCAAGACATCTAATCGTCTTTCTTGATTTTTCAAAAACTAGAGAATTTACAGTGACTCTAAAAGGTTTTGGTTGGTTGGTTGGTTGGTTTGTTTTTACATTAATCTCTGGCATTTTCTGTTGGAAATCTTCTTAATTTTTGTTCTTTAAAGATCCTGGAAAGTTTAATTTCACCCCCCGCCTGTTCAGCCTCAGTAGTTCATCAGGAGAATTCTCGGCCACCGAGTACGTTTATCCTTCAAGAGACCCTGCTGTCATCAATTCCATGCCATTCTTGCAAGAGGATCTCTACACTGCCCCACAGCCAGGTATATGCTTTAGAATACTGAAGTAACAAGAAAACAGATAACTGTATCCTGCATTGGGCAGTAATTCAGTAACTGTAATTACTTTTAACTTGATTTATCCCAAGAAAATGTGTGCATGTGATGCTTATAGATCATTAAGTAATAACAGTAATTTTTCCATGATAAAGATGCCGAGAACTAATCAAATGCACATGTATCCCAAAAGCGTGCTATAAAAATACGTTGTGTGTATCAGAGAATCTGAGTTGAGCTGAGGTTCAGTTGGATGAACAACAAAAGGGGTTGGTATGTTTTGAAATGATCCTGTCCTGATGCTGATAAGCATGTAAGACTGGGGTTGTGTAGGGGATTCTGAGAACTAGTAAGTGGCTGATGATGGATTTGTTACTTTTTGGCTGCGTAGCACTGTTCCTTGTTGACAATCACCATGAAGTGTACCTGTGGCAAGGCTGGTGGCCTGTGGAAAACAAAATCGCTGGATCAGCTCGAATCCGGTGGGCTACAGACAGAAAGTCTGCAATGGAGACAGTGCTCCGGTACTGCAAAGGTAACACATTGCTGTGCCTGGCTGTTCTGAGTGTGTTGTACCTTTGCATGCCTTACTGTCCCAAGCTGAAAGGTACTCAAGTGCTCCCCCAATCTTATCAATAAATATCAATATATTTGAAGATACATTCTCCACTCTTTGTTAGCAAACCATTTCTCTAGTAACAGTGTTGTTCCCAAATTGCCAAGATACTCTGCTGAATCGGTTCTCAGAGGAAAGGCTTTCTTTGTCTTCTGTGCTCTCACTGTGGGAGAATAGTTCCAACATCAGATCCCTAAAAATTAATTCTGAGAACACAACCTCTTAAACCTGAATGTTTTCCGACTAGCTCCTTTTGGATTTCATAAGCTTCTGTGTATTAAAAGACTGAATGAAGATACTGTTTGCTGATGTAACTGAGTTTTGATGTAGTGGAGGAGGTGGAAAGACTTTGAAGATCAAGAACAAGTCTCACATGGAAACAGGTGGCCATTGGAAATGCTGGAACACAGAGCTGAGGCTCTGCGCTCATTTCTATAAGACAGAGTTATTGCCAGTCAGTGGGCGGTGATTCAAGCTGCAATTGATGATCTCATTAGAGTACACTGACTAGATTATTTTCTGCACTAGCAGAGTTTCCTTGAGACACCATAATACTTTCCTCTCACTTCATCTAAGGTTATGTGAGGCTGGGAACAGACCTTGCATCTTCTGATGGAAGATGGATAGAGAAAGGTGTGGGGTTACCATCCAGGCGAGTGGGCATAAGTAACAGCCGAGCAGTTTCCCACTGTGAATAAGTCACTAGGGCTTAATTAGTGCAAACTATGTCCTCTTGCAAGGAAAGCCTGATCACTTACAGACCTTGAGACCTTATGATGCCACTGATTTCTTCTGTAGCTAATAAACTTTACAACTTGTGACACAGCTGATGGTAACTGTCATCTTCTCCCATAGAAGTTTGTATATTTGAAGAGGAAAAGCAATATCCTTGTTGGATTCCACCCTTATGAAGATAAGCCAGTCTCTCCTTCCCAATCTGCAGGTGGAAGCAGAGTAGGAGCAAGCGTTGTGTTTCTACTCAGTTGTCTTGTGTCACTGGGGGAAGGTGGTAACACCTGACAGGAGACAGCTGAAAACCAGTACTGGAGACACTGAAACGCGACCTTTATTGGACTGCGTTATTGCTCTGCATGTTTCATTCTCTGGTGTCCCTGGCACTGCCCTGCCAAACAGTAGCATTTGTTTAGGAATGGGCTGCTAAAGACAGGGCAGTAATTGGAAGAGTCTTTGGCAGTGACTGCTGAATTCCTAAAGAAGAGGCCAGTTACTTGTTCTCCACGACCCCTACCTACAGTTTTTGTAAGTCAGAAGGAGTGATAAGATGCATTTCTTCGAACTCATTTCATACAACGTGCTACACAGCAGAAGTGAATGTCAGCGTAGAGGAACAAAGCCCCATGCAATGAAGCGCCCAGAGTTGCTCAGCAGGCTAGTGAGGGAGATGGAAGTAGGATCCCAGACTAAGGGTTCCTGATGCAGTGCTGTAATCTTCTGGTAATGAAAATCATGTTTTCTGGCCCCAGCAGAGATGGTATCAGATACACATGCTGAGGTTTGGATACTTTTCCAGATTTCTTGAACTTCATCAAGTTCAATGATGGGAAAAGAGATTAATACCTTCTGCACTGGATTGAATTTGCTGCATCTGAGTTTGATGAGTGACTCCTCAGGGGTCTGAAGTTTAGCATATGTATCATAGAACAAGAGGTTTTGCCTAGTGCTCACTTTACCTCTGGCCGTGACTTTGCAGCAGTTGTGGCTTTTCTGCTCTTCTCAAGAGCTTTGGACTGTGTGGTCGAATAGATAAAGAGCAAGTTTGTTACTGTTAAAGACCAATTCTACTTGTACTGTTTCTATGCTAAAGCTGATGTGAACTTCTTTAGCAGTTTTTTACTGTTCAAACTATGCTTGTTCTAGTGGTGTATCACTTTCATGATATGGGATTCAGTCAACCACTTCAAAATTTCATTGCATCAAGCTGTCAGAGCTGACTAGCTCTTACGTGTTGTTACTTACCAAGGTGGAGAAATTGAATTTCAGGCGATACCAATGCTGCTGCTGCTGCAATTATTTTGACTACAAGAATATAGTCGAGTGATCAGAAGCATTAAAACACTTTTCACTATTTTTCTCTCTCCATTTCTTTCCTCATCTATGTCCCTCTTCCTCACCCCTCCTTTTCTTTCTTTATTCCTTTTCCTGGCTTGCAGTGTTTAACTACGTAATGGTATGAAAGAGATTGATAAGCAACTCTGGACATCCCTTGAATATACCTAACAGTTCTCCTTGTGCATAAATCTTATTTAACTTGTCAAAATGTCTTGCAAGTTTTTCTGTGGTTTTATCTGCTAAATCCGCAGTCTGGAGAGCTGATATGCAGACTGCTAGAAGAGGGAAGAATCTGGTTTGCCCTTCAGTGACTCTTAGTGAGGAGATCAGCTTGTGCTCAGGGCAGAGTTCATGCAATGAAAATGCTTCTCCACTTCCATACAAAGTCTTCTTACCTATACTGGAACATTAGCAAATACCACTCTCCTTTTATTTTTTTAATAATTTTTTATCTCCTTTATTTTTTTAATTCTTGGCAGAATTACTGAGAGTGGAGCAGCGCGACTAGAGCAGATTCATGCATTTTTTTTAAACGCAAAGTTTTTAAGTGCTTGTTGAGTCGTTCATGGTAGAATGAACACATGAACCACAGTGAAAATATGTGAAAGAGAAGGCTTAAAATCAAGTAATCAAATGATAAATCTCCTGTCTAAATTGTATAGTCAAAGCACTCACATTCTAATATGTTTGTTAGACTACTCCACAGAGCTTTTATCTCTAGTATTCCGTTTCATGTGAATATAATCACTCTAATCAGTTTGCTCCCAACATCTGATGTAAAGCCAAACCTGTAATGTTCAGGTTTTGCAAACCTAATGAAACAACAGTGTCCAGCCAGGCTTTCTGTTTGCATCCAGCACAGGTGTTGCATCAGTTCCCTGGAGTGCTCCTCGGCAGTGGGGAGGAGGGGACTGTGTTCCTTTAGATATTCCTGCCTGGCAGCCCCCACAGGGGCTACAGTAAAAAACAGGGTCTTCTGTAAGGGATTTATACATTCTGGAGGAAATCTTAATGCTTTAAAGATGCTCTGAGATTTGAATGAGGGAGTAACAGAATTTTGCAAGCAGCAGTTTATAGGGAAGCTGCAGCCCTCAAGTGAGGTGGTGTCATGTTGCTCTGTTAGTTTCACCTGAATTTGGACTTTGCAACATCTTCAGCTTTTCCATTGCCTACCTGGAAGAAAGATTTGATTAGACTGAGTTGTTGGAATCCAAGTAAGATGAAGGTATAATATTTTTAAAATGATAGCTCCTCCCAGTCCCTGACTGCCTGTCTACCTCTTTCCAACAACACTTGGAGTTTAGCAGTGCTTTTGAATCCTTAGGCAATTGAATCACCCAACCAATAGGGTCTGTTTCCACCAGTACTTGGCATAGTGACTTTAACAACTTAATCCGATACAGCATCACTCCTAGGCAAAGTTATGTCCATGTCCTATATAATGTGCACACATACATATTTTGAAGAAGCAGGCTTCTCTTTGAAAATCATCAGTAATTACCATCCAGCTATTGCAATACCGCTGTTAACTTCCAGATAACCATTCCTTTGAATTTGTAATAACAAAATGATTGTGTTAGACCTCAGTATACCAACTTAAGAACAGTTTGAACATTCTCACTTAGGCCTCCAAGTTTAAGCTTTATTTGCTGCTGGCAGGACGCTTCTGCCGAGCATACCAGAAGGTTTCATTTACCTGAATTTGGCTAATTTCAGACCATCACTCTCTGCTTACTCTATTCTAACTCTGGTTTTGTAAGATAAGAAATACACTGGGTTAGGAATCCCCATGGGGGATTTTCAGTATACATGGTATCTTTGTGGACAGATACAGTAAAAGGCAGACTTAAGAGTACTGAAAAACATGTTAAAAGGTGCCATGCTACATTAAAAAAAAATCCTGGTAAAATTTATTCCTACTGCCTTAAATTACTTCAGCTTTTCAGGAAAGAATCAATTAAACACGCTTACGAGGTAGCTTCGGATAGTGAGTGACATTGCAAAATATGGTACCATTTGTAATTTCTCTCTTTTTTTTTTTTATATTTTGACTGTTTTTAGGAAAAAATGTAAAGAAGCCCCCAAAATCCTATCTAATTCATGCTGGCTTAGAGCCTCTGACCTTCACTAATATGTTCCCAAGTTGGGAACACAGGGAAGACATCGCAGAGATCACAGAAATGGTAATCACTTCATTGCACAGACTGTTTCCTATTCCTAGTAATTGTGTCTTGTGTTGTCAGTAACATTGTTCGTTTGTGCTGTCAAACCCTAAAATTCAGAGGATGAACTTACAAAGTACAGTTCAGGAGTCTGCACAGAAGTAGAATAACATGGCTAAATGCTGACTGGGAGTGTGGGTATCAGAGGCATTGCTGGTTGTTTTATCATGTAACTTCTCGTATTCTTTTTTGTTAAAAACAGGAGGAAGGTGTTATCTGAATAATCTCGTAGAAAGAGATGTGCTAGAGTTTAGCAACTGTTTCAATCGTATAAAACACGCAGCACCATGCAGTTGTGGTCTGTCTCCGGGCTTGAAGTGCAGGGGAGCAAAATGCCCCACAAAGGATCAGCTGGCTCCAAGAGCTCCAGGATTGACTCCCCACCTGGGAAGTGGAGTCACAGCTGAATTACATGTGACCGCTTTAAAAGCCTTCACTAAAGGGCCATCTCAAGGCAAATGACATTTTCTGCTTTGTAAGTCTTCTGCAGCCACCCTTAGTGGAAAATGCTGGCTTCATGACTAAACACAAAAGTCAGCCTTAAACTGAGATTCCGCAAGTACAGAATGTCCTTCTGCTAAGTGCAGACCTTTTGTTAGCTGTGAAGTTGCTGTAGGTCCACCTGTGGACCTGGATGTATAGCTTTGTGCCCCGTGGTCCAGGCAGTGCAGGTTGATCCCAGGCCACCCGCAGACTGCAACAGGAGCAGTTGATGGTTTCAGCATTGTGATCCTCTTCTCTGTTTTCCTTTTCTCCCTGCAGGATGCTGACGTTTCTAATCAGATAATCCTTGTAGAGGACGTGCTGGCCAAGCTGTGTAAAACAGTGTATCCACTAGCAGATCTCTTGGCTAGGCCTCTACCTGAGGGAGTTGATCCACTGAAGCTTGAAATCTATCTTTCAGATGAGGACTTCGAGGTATGGAGAGACTGGGTGCACCGTTACTCTCTGCATGCGTGTCTAAGCATGCTGTGAAGTCATTTGACAGTTTCACTACTTACAAGTGTTTTTACTAATGGCTTATCCTCTCCTTTTAAATGCAGGTTGCATTAGAAATGACGAGAGAAGAGTACAATGCACTGCCATCTTGGAAGCAGGTTAATCTGAAGAAGGCAAAAGGACTTTTCTAAGTTGTGTTTATTGGAGTGAGCACTAAAGGGATGTCTGTTCTCACTTTCTATGCCCTTTAGAAGAATTGTGTCCCACATTTGCAAAATAAATAATCTGAAGTTATTAGTGACTACCTATCTGGAGGTGTGTAATATTCTAAAAGGCCAAGAGAACCCTTTGGAAATGGAATTAAATTTCGACTCCTAAAGGTAAAGTGTTTAAGCTCTGCTCTCCTATGCACTTAAACAGTAGTTCCTTGAGCTACTGCAGCAGGTGTCCTTTGGCTATACACAATACTTGCCATTTTTGGTTTTGAAGAAGTTCTCTTTGTAAAGTGTTATTTTGTTAGTTTGTGGATTACAAAGAATTTATATTTATATAAACACATAGAACAAGTATGTATTTAACAATGCAATATATATTCACTTTCAAGACTTTCATGTCAAAACTACAGAAAAGTAGCTGGACAACAGTTGCTTGTACTGAATTAGCTATACCACCAGTATGTATCCCTTGCGCATTCTGAAAAGTTTCTCTTTGCAATAGGTAATGAATTGTTCCCAGTGCTGCTTCAGGTGCTAAACTGAACAAAGCATTTGTATTTATAGCATGGGTTTCTTGAGAAACTATGCGAATCAACCTTTATACTTTATTATCCAAAAATGTATAGTGCCTTGTTTTTTGTGTACAGTTTATATACAAAAAAAAAAAAGAGATTGGTCTGCATTTTGAAGATGGCTTAGAACGGTCTCCTATGTTACTTTTGTAATAGTAGAAATAAAAACATCTCAGTTTCTAATACTTGTTGTAAACATTAAACATGTCTTTTGTGATATAAGAACTGAAAGAAAAAGCTTCCGAATAAACTCTTAGCGATGCTCTGACTTGTCATTATTTTGTACTGTAATCTGTACTAAGTCATTGGAATCTTCCATAACATGGTATTTTATCAAAATATTTTAACCTTAGATATCTGCAGGTGTTGTACAGAGTTATAATTTGAGAAGCAAATTATGTAGAATGAAAATCAATGTATGAGATGAAAGAAGGTTGTGCTACACTTCATTGCTGAACATTGGAACAATCACACAAATCCTGTATCCTTCGGGTTGCACTGTTTTATCCATGAAACCAAAATTATTATGCTGTTTTTCAGATCTTTTCAATCTTTGTGTAATTGGGAGTAAAACTTGAACTAAAAATGAGTATGGCATCGTGTCCATTCTTTCAATAGGCACTGGAGTCAAAATCATTTTCGTTCAGCTAATTAGGACATTGAATGGAGTAATGGAGTAAAAATTTGGTATTGTTTGAAATGTTTTTCAGGCATTTGGCAGGTCTGTTAAAAACTTGTGTGGTTTCCCTCTGGTAGCCTAGTGGGTTTCACATTTTCTTTCCTGCCAAGCATAAGTTTCCTTCTGCTGTGCAGCCATTCAGAGCTCCTCCTGCCTACGTAAAAAGCGATCACCCGCAGTGGTGTCTGTTGCTGCTCTTGTCATTCTCCTAGGCCCAGGGAAATGAAGTAGGATCTTTGAATGTGAGAGATGTAGATTTCATCAAGATCTGCAGTAAATATTGCTCCATAGTTAAAATTAGTATTGTTTTGACAGATCAGTAAGTTGTAAGCTAGCCTTTAAGTAAATAAACCAAAAGTCTAGAAATACACAAGTACTATTCACTTGACCTGAGATATTACAGGTGAATTTTCAGCACTAGTGTATTTCCTTTCATTATGGGTTTCTATCAAGAACTGAAACTAAAAAACCCAAGAAAAAGGTAGCCACAGTATTCAGAGCCATTTTTACATAGCCTCCAGCAGAAAGCAAGATGTTCAGAGGAGGAAGATGTGTCTTCTGCATGAGGGATGCTCTTAGTCTGAAAATGCAGGGCTTCATAGTGACAAGTTTATTTTTCGAGCACTGAGAGGTTTCCAAAGTCAATGCTGTATTCATCTAAGTATTTTTGCACCCATATATTTTCCTCTTTCACCCTCTGTGGTGATAAAATCAAGCAGGAATTAAGTTTTGTTTATTCATGTTTAATCTGTACCCCGGGGGGGTAGCAGGTTCCTCTGTTTTGATTTTTCTCTCCAACAGAGAGCTGATTTGCATAGTGTGATTGACCTTGTTTTTCCCTGTGGCAGGGTAGTATCATTTGATTTTGCTTTTGCTTTTTGAAAACACTGTCAGTCCTCCAAGTGCTGCTGAAGGGCAATATCCACCCACCCTTAAAGCCTTTAGAATCTCAGCTAAAAGACAAGACAAGCTGGCTCGGGGACCTGCAGGCAGTGAAACACAAATCAGTGCTGTCAGCTCTTAGAGTTAACCGTAATTTTTACAGAATTTGATATCTCATGTCTCAGTTCCAGGAACCAGGACACAGAACTCAACTTCCTACTTAAGTGCTTTGCTCCTAACACTGCCTAGGAAAACTTCAAGGTTTTGCAGAAAATAAATTATTTTTATTGTCCTTAATTATACTTGGTATTTATCGAACTGCTTTCCTGAATGTGAAGCTGATAACAGAAAGCCAGGTCAGTGTAAGGCCTCAGACAGAAGTGTGAGTGATGCTTTAATTTTCTGCTACCTTTCCTCTCCCCTGTGGGGATGCCATTTATGGTTGGTGTCACGTTTTGAGGTCAAAAGACCAGTCTATTAGCTCCCAAGTCAGGTGAGACCCTTGGGTCCGACTCCCCCTGCCTTCTCTTGGCAGCTCAGTGAGTCGGAGGGTGATTCGTCTGGCTTATTGTGGGATCCGTCACTAATAGACGAACAGGAGGTAATTTGGCCAGTATACCAGCTCCCAAGTCAGACGAGACCCTTGAAATGGGGAGTAGAGTGGTACGGAGGTATCACGGCTCATCCCTGTTATCAGGGATGAGAGGCGCCTGGTAAAGATAACCATAAGAATGCCATCGAGGGAAGTGAATCACAACTGCTGCCTCAGCAGTGATGGTGAAATTGTGTCCTTCAGCTACTAAGTCACACCTCCACCCGCCTCCGAGCTGCGACCACCCCTCAAACGAGCAATTTACACCAATCCTAATTTGTGAACACCCCTCACGAGAGAAATTTTCACCAATCCTAATAAAAGTTATGTATGACTAGAGTCACTCGAGCTCCACCTAAAAGATATGAAAAAAGTATAAAATAGCACAAACAAAGAGGATGTTAGGGAGAAGCCCCCCCCATCGGAACATCTGGGATCAGTCGATGGGCTGAACCTCTCTTCTCCCCCCCATAGGGACGCCTATTGGGTAAGAACTCTGTGTTATGTGCACTTACTTAATTACTTACTAACATCTTGCTAGCTATTTAATATTATCACTGATCAGTAATTGTTTTATATTATCACTGCAGTATTTCAATTAAAGTTGCTTTTGTAGTCAGTCACTATCACCGGCTATCCTCGAACCTGTATTCTGTCACAAATAAAATATATATGCATGTTTCCGGAAACTTTTGAATTATTATAAGGAGTTGGCCCATAGTACTACTAGTGACGATCCCTAATAAGTGGGCGAATCACCCTCCGATTCACTGAGCTGCCAAGAGAAGGCAGGGGGAGTCCGACCCAAGGGTCTCGCCTGACTTGGGAGCTGATAGACTGGTCTTTTGACCTCAAAACGTGACAGTTGGAAACTGGAAAGGGCCATTAGTACCTTCTTGAACTGTTTTTACAGACCTGCATGGGAAATACAGCTGAAACAGGTTTTGTCTGGATATGGGGAGGGGGGTATTTTTTTTGTTTGCTTGTTTCAAATAGACCCCCAAGAACACACTTAACGTCTAGGGTGAATTCAAAGGCAAAGCTCTGGTACAGGGACTCTGTATGTGAAAAAGACAGTACCTTGAACATGGCATTCTGCTTTTCTGTCAATCTTGCAGCTTCCAGGCCTTGAGCTGTGATTCTTATCTCCTGTAGTTTTAAACTGCTCAATCCTGACTCTTAAAAATACTGCTCTTTGCAGGAATGTTTGTGTAACCACACATAAGGATTTGTTAGTGAAATGAGCTGGAAACTTGAATACGCAAGTATGCCAGAACAGCAAATAAAACATTATGTCTGAAAAATCTGCAGCCAGTGTTTCTGCCAGAAGAGAAGGGAAAATGGAAGGTAGATATGGGGACAAAACGCAAAACTAATCTAATGCAGTTTGAGGAGAGCTTGTTTCTGTCCACTGCTGTCCCACCAGTCTCCCAAACGGGTATTTAGCTGAGCAGGAGTTGTGGACCCATGTGCGCAACTGGTGAAAGCTGATTCTGAGCTTCCCTGAAAGGCTGTGGTGCTGTCGATGGAGGCAGGGGCAGGCTGCTGCGGTGGAGTCCGAATGCTGCAGAGCCCTCTGTGTTAGAGGCTTTGGCTGGTGAGACGTGTTCCCCACCCAGCAGTATTAATCCCACTTGACTGGAGTGGCAGGAAGAATAATTTTTGACCAGTCTCTGCTACTAACTCTCGGTCTAAATTTCCCTTTTGGATCAAGTAGCAGATGAGCAGAAATTGCTTAAATAATAATATTCTCCAAAGTGCCTGCTTTCCACATCCCCTTGTGTGGAATCGTAGAATCATAGAATGGTTAGGGC